TGGTGGTAGCACTTGAATGAAACATTACAGTCCTGGAGGTTATACTTTGGTTTCAGGGTTGACTACTAGATCCTGAGCTGAAGACCTGGAACCTGAGGCTCAAGCGTGGAGGAGGAAAGGGAAATGCTACACTTCATCGTGAGATTCACGACGCCAACCGTCTCCCCCTCAGTGTGCATATGTCCGGATGCGTCTGAACTTTAGTCCGATGCAATCTCTCAGCAGAGTGGGGTTCTGAAATTCAGGTAGCCAGAAGGGCGTTCGAGCTAGTTAGTTTTTCTGCCGGTTTGTGCATGTCGGGTTATCCATGGGTTTCGGGTCTTTCCTTTCAACCCTTCTAGAAGGGGCCGGCAAAACATCGATCCCCAGCACTAAGCAGATTGTCAGTCCGGCCCAGGTGCGTTGAAGTTGATCGCCCAGGCGGGGGTGAGAGGTTGAGGGGTTGAGGCCTAAGGCAAGGGGGGTTTTCTCACAACAGGTGACTGCTCTGCTTTAGGCTACTCTGGTCCTAGGCATGGCTTTGATTCTATCCAGGAAATGCTTTAGGCATCCAGGACACTTGGGTGACAGGAATTTGATACCGAAATAAGGTTGAAGTTTTTTTCATACTGCCAGGTGACTGCTCGTGTGCCTTTGAGTTTATGCAAAAAGAAGGGAGCATAACTTTGAGACTCCTCTCTATACGGTCGGGAAGGTCAGCAAAGACAAGCAGCAGTGCTAGGAGTCTGAGTATCTTCCTGCGTAGAAGACATTGAAAAAACCCAGTCCTGTCTATCCAGGCATTGCTTCGAAACTCTGCCAAGTCCCTAAACATCAGAATCCCTTGACCTGACAGAAGCTTCTGAAATACGATGATGATGACCGCATGGCCAGATGACCCATGCAGACACCAACGTGCTACTTCAAGTTCGCACGAGCCCTCAGGCCGTGTCAGGAACGATATCAGTAATCTAGTGCAGCCGGAAGCTGGTTGCACGTACCGAGTAATCAAGCCAGTGCCGAAACGCTGGCGAGCAAGTTCTCCATTTCATGTACAGACGCGGCAAAGTAGCCCATCTTGCAGTGGCCTGTCACAAGCGCTACTTTCTCGAGCAGAAGCCACAACATCCTCTGCTGGAGTGTTCCACTGCCTCAGTAGCAGAAAACGTCTGCACACTCGGGCAAGCGCAGCCAACCAGCTCCATGCCGTCGCAAGCACCAAGTAACCTTGGGCCATGCCAATCACACCATACCCTCGGCCGGGTGCGCCGGTAATGTGAAGTGCAAAGATGCGAGCCTTCTCGACCAACACAGCCATGCTCAATGCTCATCGCGGTTGCAGCGGCCAGGGCAAATGGCTTCCTGGCCTGTGCACTGTGTCAGGTAGGCGGTGGAGACAAGCAGTGATCGTCTGCCTGCCTCAAGTCCGGAGGTGTTTGCGTTCACATTGATGCTGCACCGCTGTTTCAGGTACCATGACATGAGGCAACCCTACGGCCACCCTCGGACAAACTGCCAAACGCTGAGGCTTTAACCCCAAAGTCACACCCTGAGGCCTTGACCCGAAAGCTCTCTCTGTCTCGCTCTCTCTCTCTCTCTGCCTAAGCCTCAAATCTCAGTCTAGACGGGATGGACATCAGGATCACGACTCCTGGAAGCAGCTGGTAAGCTCTGCTGGACCTGACGGTACAGCCCGCGCTCGGCTGAGAGCACATTGCATGGTGGTACTTTTGGATTGAGGGTTTCCACTTGATTCTGGCTTGGCTTTTCTTTCTGGGCTTCAATTGGGATGACCGTGGATGACTGCATTCTAGGTGGAGTGTTGGGTCCCTGATGGCAAGAACTTCCGACATGAGCCACTGACTTGTTTGGAGTCCATATGGATAGGTGAGTGGAGTGTCTGCAAGATTGACTCAGCAAGAGAAGATGATTATAGCTTCGATGATGATACTATTACATGTTTCGTGAGCATGTGTAGATGCAATTGTAGACCTCTCCCTTAACCTACGTGGTCTAAAGCAATCACCGGAGCATTCTGCAAATGATGCAGGTTACTGTAACAGTTTCAACATGGCCCTGGTGTTTTAGACTGGATTACTTGTCTCAATGGAGAACCCTCGATTTGTTACGAAGGTGGCCACTGGATCTGCTCACCCCATGATGACGCAGAGACTAAAGCCCAGGCCGCCGCTCTTTTGGGATTGATTAAGCTTGATATGTGGGATGTAACATTTGTGATTTAGGTATCTGTCAAGTTTGATGTGTTGCTCATGATGATTCAAACTGTATGCACTCAGGCAAACGCACCCTGCATAAGTAGGACACCGATCATTTGAATCCAGAGAAAGCACCCCTCATCTTGAAGATTTAATTTCGGGTTGGTGCAGGGATCTGATTCAAGGCTTCAAGATGGGAGTTGGGCTTCAGGTTTCTGTGGGACCTTTGTGCCGGCTTGTTGATGTAGAGAGCAGCGGCCCATGTAAGGGATTCGGCTCTGAGTCTTGAATCCCAAAAAGGTGTGAGATCCAAGGCTTGAGCTCGATTCGAATTTGTTCAGCTTGTTGTGTGATGGGCAAAATCAGTTGCCTCTGAGCACACTGGATGATCCGGCAGTTGTGGAAGTTGTTGCCAGACAGCCATTTCTGTAGGGTTCTCAAGGTCAAGCTGTTGATGTGTTGGACGTTCCAGAAATAGAAGGAGCTAGTTCAGTCAGACCTCTATTCTGTTGCCGGGCCCCTGCAACTGACCAGGGCCTCGCGCTTGAGGTTTAGGGTTTAGGATTTGAAAGTTCAGGGTTTAGGCGCTGTACACCCTTTCAAGCTGCTTATCAGTATAACTTTCGCGCTTCTTTTGGATAGTTTTTATTGGCCATCAACAACGACACAGGCTTTTGTCAGACTCTTTCGAGAATCCCGACGTCTTGGGGGCCAGCTTTGCCGGCACGCCTTGTGCTCCTCTACCTCAATCCTAAGCCCTAAGCCCCCCCATAGTCATCAATCCCCTTTCAGCAGTTTTGGGGCAGGTTCTGAAGCTTGGCTGGGCACCTCCCTGTGTTGCCCAAGCCTCAGCTGTTTAGTTGGGGATCCTGAGAGTTTTGTTCGGGCTTTGGAGGCCTGGAGTTCTCTGGGGCTTGGGGATTTTGGGTTTAGCTGTTTAGGGCTCCCATGTGGGAAATTGTATGGCCTACCAGGAATAAGGTAAAGGGTGAGTATGATCTATATGGGTTACATCTGGACTGCAAAGGATGATGAGGGAGACCGGATTGAGCATTAGTCATCTGCTGGTAGTCTTCATATGCTCTTCAAAAGATTGGGTACGCTGTTCAGTGGGAGTAGACGGGACTAGCGGCGAATGGCGATTTCGATTTATGGAAAATCCACACCATACCTAGTGGTTGCCTTTTGGAGGCGACACTTGTTTGGGCTTTTTAAACATCCCCTCATTCTGAATCGACACATGGAGCCCTTCTAGGCACAAAGCTCCCAACTTGGGCCAGTGGGGCTTAAGCTCGAAACTAGAAGTTTTGATTGGCGTGACGAGTTGCCATCCATTGTTGTCCGTGATTTTCTCGAAGAAAATGCGCGTTGCAGGTGCCGGGGCAGCAGGTTCGAACTCCTTGCATGCTCGCAGGAGTAGCGCGTGCCGAGCCCCCAGCTTCAGAGACCCAACCTTGCATTGAGGGTTTAGGGGTAGATGAGGTAGAGAATCACTGAGCCATTTGACTGGTGTACCCATGTCTCACATGGGTGTGATATCCCTTTATCCTTTCTGGGGCTTTGGGGCAGGGAACTGGAGTGTAGTTTCGGCGCAGACTGAATTCTTCTCCCCAGAACCAAAGGAATCTTAAGAAGAACACGTCCAAGATTTTCTGCATGCTTCCCGCATCCTAGGCACGGAACACAAGCTACTCATGTCGGTGTGTTTTAAGTTCAGCATACTTCAGATTTACATCGACACCTTTAAAACCCTGCCCACCGGCCCTGCTCCCCCCCAAAGCCTGAGGTGTCTGTACTCGCCAGGGCTGCTCGAGCTGTCCAGCTTGCGCGCACACAGTGAAACCCAGACCTGCCAGCAACAGAGCTGGCAGGGTAGTTTCAGGCACAGCCTGTGCACGCTGCTTTCAGGCAATCGTTCCAAGAGTCCTGGGGCTAGAATTCTGATTGCTGTGCATAAAGTCTGCCGGAGCCGAAGTAATCCGACAGTGTGCGGAGAGGCCCTTGTCAATTGCAGAGCAGAGATGAGCAGTAATCCTCCTGCCCCCGTATGGTAATTCAGCCCATCAAAACAGGAGAAAAAACATCATATGTGCAGTGTAGTAAGGTGACTAGTTGACTATGATTTTTGGGGGAGGGGACTAGTGGCAAGCCTGCAGCAGAGCTCGGCATCCTCATGCTGACAGGCAATTGATATGGAGCCATCCTCTGCTACAGCATTTTCCAGTTCCTACCACGAGATGTTAAGGCATTGGGCAAAGCTGCGCCAAGAGATAACGATGAATCCTTGAATTTGTCGGTGTGCGCCCAAACCATTTCACAAGTTCATTATCTCCAGCGCTTGATGGGCAGAACTTACACACCGAAGTCTCCTACAAAGGCTTTCCTTTCCCCCTACTTTGAGGTATTGTGTGTCTTGTATTCTGGTTCTTATCCATCACTTTTTGGATCCGGGGGAGGGGGCTGAACCTGGAACAGGCAGCGCCGTGTCGCGCAGGCAGAGAGAGCCTGCGCTTCATCTCCAGAAATGCGTCCGATGAGCGACTTTTGCCGGGGCGGCCATAGGGAACGCGCGGGCTGTCCTAATTTGCACCCGAAGTCCTTTTTGAAGCTGCCTTAGAAGGCACGCTCAAGACCCCAGCCGTGGTGAATCAGGCACACTGTATCGGTATAGGCTATTGCAAACCTGCATGACCCAAAGCTATCGCGTAGTCCTCTCTGTTGCCACAGTTCCTAGGGTAGCTGGTGCTCCGGGTCATGCAGGATGCTTTCCATCAACAATATTTAGATGTCCTTCAGGGTCTTCATCGAAGAGTGGGGACTTGGCTTACCCTTGCTAACTCAAATCAATGCAACCTGTCGACATCCTTCACGCGCCACGGTGGAGCAAAAGGCGGTCCCGCGAGTGTCGAGGTGCAGAGTAAGCAATTCACTGCTTTTTATTCCCTGAAGTATGGGCTTCACAGAAGTAGCTGAGATATGTGGCTTCTCGTGCGCTCAATTCTGTTTGGCCTCTTCTGAGTCTGTGGCTGCTATACATCCTGGATTTCCCGTTGTCATTGTCAGTTCCTTCTTGCTAGGGCGCTGGTTCCATGGGCACGCTGGATCCAGGACCTGTTTCCCAGACGATCTACAGGGCAGTTTATTACATGTATTATGACGTACATTGTTGCCATGGTTCATTATTGTTACTATCTTTCTTATTATGATTTAAATTACTCTTGCTATTACAATCTTACTATGATTATTGCTACTACTATTATGAAGGTTTCGGGTCGTCTGGATTCGGGGGATCAGGTTTCAGGGTTTACCTCTTCGGGGTACCAGCGTTGAATGTTCAGGCTCTGAGCTCCAGGTGGTTGCATGGTAAGGATGTAGCCGGATGTCTATTCCTCATCCTAATCCTACACAAGCCTGCAATCTTAGTCTTCTGAGTCCTCAAACCCACTCCTCAGAGCTCCAAGAACCAGTTGCACAGACCCTCTCCCCTGCATATCTCCAAGCACCAAGCCTAAGCAGGAGCTTGCAAGCTCTTCGTTGGTGGCATCTCAGCGCAGACGAGCACCCATGTCCCGGGCCCAGCCGGGTGTTTGAATGAGAGTCTAGGCTTTAGGAAATAGAGTGTCAGTATTTGTAAGAATAAGTTTCAACCTGGCGGTACCCTTTTTTAGCATCCCCGGCTCGTGAGGACTTCTTGAGATGGGGCTACTCCCTTGTGTAAGCCAACCCTCAAATCCTACTAAGCTTTCAACCGTCAACGCCAAACAGTCAATCCGTATCCCTAAACCCAACCAACTAAAGGACTGCGCAAATAACAGCAGGCACTTCACAGCCACTTCGCGAAGTATGGGCACGTCATTGACGCCGTCCTTGACCCGGGCGTGGCTGAATACAGCTTTCAGATTGGGCTTGAAGAATGGTTCAGGGTTGAGGTTTGGGGATCATGGCTGAATTCTGCCGGTGAGTGACCAGATATTGTATATCAGAAGAAGCTCTAGATTCCCTAGAAAGGAAACTAGAAGGCCAGTGGCAAAGAAGGAAGCTGCCGCAAGCAATACCATTGGTAGGCTAGAACAAGCAACCCCATGTGAGCCATAATCTAAACACCGTAAAGGATTATATAGAAGAGAATTACAGTGTTTTTAATGGGGATGCTAGGAGTTTAGACTATAGCTCATGTGTTTCGCAGTCCCAAAAGCTGTGACTTGGGGGCCTGTTGTATTCAAATTTGGGCAGAAGCCATGGTTGCTATTCTCACATTGCCACCGTAAGTTCTTTCAATTGCTCTTACGCCAAGCTCTACTAGTAGTTTCCATTCTTTAGTGCATTCCCCTGTAGAACTTTGGCACTTATACTTATACCCCCCTGGTTAGTATTTCAGGGTTCTGGTGGCACCAGGTTTGATTTGTATCAGACTTGGAGACGCAGCCGCGCTGAGGTGTGGCCCCTCAAAGCCGGCAACACATAGCGAGGGGACTCACCCAAACAGCGACTCCCAGAGCATCAAAACCGATTCCCAATTTCAGGGAATTCCACTTCAGTACCAGGTGGTCATGTCCAGAGATGGCAAAGCAAGAGGCTGGAAGACTGAGTGAAGGGGCAGGCTTATCTAGGGTGTGGAAGTCTGGAATTTCGGAGTTTGAGGTTGCAGTCTGAGAAGTCTTTGGGATTCCAGAGCTTCGGGTCCAGAGACCCTCGACATATTTGGAGCTGTGCTTATATAGTTATATAGGGATAATGGAAAATAGAATGGAAACTACTATAGTATATGGGGCTTAAATAGGGATAACGGAAAAGAAAATGGAAACTACCATTTACAGTAGGGGGTAAGAATGACACCAAGTATCCAAGGGCCAATCCAAACTGCATCTGCGCATTGGCTTTCTCCTGCTCTCTCGGAAGCAGGTGTCAAAACACACCGGCCACTTTCCATACTATTTTTGCTTTCGGGTTTGCGTTGCAGCGACTGTATGGTGAGAATCATACTGTGCAAGTAAAAAGATTTGCTTGTAACTCCAATTGCTGGATCAAGTACATATCCAGAATTAAGACGAAATACCAGGGTTGGGGTATAGGAAGTTCTCTTACAGTACAGAGGTTTCCGAGACAGTCACAGGGCACAGGGTTTGTCTGGATGCTGGGGGAGAGCCCGGCAGATCAAATGCAATCAGGACTAGTCTTTCAATTTGAACGTCCGCATTTTGCTTTCAGCTCAAGACCCAAACCCAAAAGCTTCAACCCTAAATCCCCAGACCCACAGTACGAGCCGTCAAATCCAACGTTAAACATTTAAACCACCAACCGCTTTGTGGTGAACACGCAAATTTTAGCTCGAGCAGCTTAAGGTTGGGTCCTAAACCCCAAGCCCTGAGCCCTGATCCCTAAACCCCTGTTCTGACTGTTGAGGCTTTGGTTTCGTGACCTTCAGCTCAGTAGTGGCGGCGGCAGCTCGGCTGCATGCAAAAATTCAACTGAATTGGGACTGACCTTTTCACGTACAGCAGGTGTGATGATCTGGGATCAAGATCAGGAGATGCCACTAGGATTCCCAAAAGTCCTCAAGCTGCCACTAGTCCTTCATGATCCTGCTATATGCCCAAGAGTCCGCGTCATGCGAATCCTACAATACCTCAGCACCTGTGCTTCTGTAACCCCAGACAATCCTGTTGGTACATGTTACAGACCTGAAGGGCTAGCTCTAAACTCCATTAACTCCACACTTGAAACCCTACTCTCTACAGAACCTCGAAGCCTACGCCTTCAACCCTAAGCCTTTCCCAGGTGAACGCACTTTCTGAGCCGCAGTGGCTGGACGGAAGACTCGTTGACGTGCCTTGCTTTGTAACCTTTCAGGGGCGGGTTTCAAGGGTCCGAGATCTAGGCTACAAGCTGGGGACACCGGTTTGGTAGATGACTTAGATTTTGTCAGTTGACTGAAGGATGGCTTAGGTTTTGGGCTTCAGCCAAACCATGTTGGATGACATGTCATCTGGCATCCTAACGAGCTATTGAAGTGCGCATCCTGCATTGGCTATCTTATGCCAGGGTCTTTTACGCAGATCCTGCCCGGTCCGTTCCTAAAGACACGTGTTTCTGGCAAGCCCGTATGATCTTGTAGAATTCCCGTGCAGAAACCACGCCCCACTCCAGCCTCAAACACGGCAAAGGACTCGGACATTTGAGAGGCCAAAACTCTTGACGCTAAACTTTGGACTGTTAATCACGAAGCTCTCAAGTGTGTTTGCCGGGGCACAGGTCAAGAGAGCTGTTCCTGGAGAGCGCGTCCAGGCTCGATCTGTCACCACAGATAGAGTTGATGCTTCTCGCTTTTAGCAGTGACACACCAGGATGTAGAAGGTTTTATGGCGAAGATTTGTGGCGTTCACATGGACATTGCATGTTTTTGGGTTTGCACAATTTTACGGTGCTTTGGGGTTTGGGGCTCTGGCTACGGGTTGGGCTTTGGCTCTATAGGGTGTTGGTTTGGATTTTGCAGTTACGATACTAAATGCTAAGCTCTGGCCCCTTTGGATTCCTAGTATACCTCACATTCAAGACGTTTTCGAGGGGCGCTGCAAAGGGAGGTGCAAGGCTCCTCAACAATCCAATTCATTTGAAGCAAAAGTTCTGCAGCACCAAAAACAAGCTCAATGTGATCATCGCAACGATGCGTTGGGGTCCCTGAAGCCCAGACGTGAGTTGCAGACAGAGGTTACGTATCCCCAGCTGATGTTCTGCTCGCTTCTGCTGACTCCACAAGGGTGTGCTGGGACTTGTTTTTAACTGCGCGCAGTCATGAAGTGAATCCCATCCCTAAGAGGGATGCTTCCCGCATTCCGTATTCTTGCAGCAGTTTTGTGGTCTTTGAGGTGAGGCCAAACATTGAACCTGAGCCCCAAATCCCCTACACCCAAGCCCTGCCCCGGAGGAAAGAAGCTCCAACAAGGTTTTCATTGGCGGACTGCCGCAGGAGACTGAAGCCAAAGAATCATACTATGGGGTTCACGAAAGTCTTCTTAGGAATATTTTGCAGTTGTTATCCGACCTTGCGAAACCGCTTGGAGTTTGTATCGGCTTTGGGGGACGAGCATAAGGACTGTTCGCTACACAGCGTGGCTTCAGTTTTCAGATACTTCCACTGCAGAAGCCTAAATTAGTGCTATCATTCGCAGCAGTCTGAACATCGTTCCATCTGCATGTGGTAAGGTTCCCTTGAATATTGTTGGTATTCGATACAAGGCCTATTAAATGTCCTCAGGCCTCTGGCCTCTGTGTCAGCTCTGGAAGAGTTTCAGCTTAGGAGGAGGGGGGGACCTGAGAGCTTCATCATGCGGATGTAGATCCTTGACTGCGTAGTCCCTGCAACACTCTTTGTTTGACTCGCATATTTTCCTTCAGGGGCATTAGGGCATTAGGGCAGTTCAAACATCCTTGATTGCCCTGAAGCCTTAAACGCAAATGCCTTAAACCCAATAGCCCAGGCCCTGAACCCCAAACCCCTAGTGCAAGATCCAGCGCTAGGCCCTTAACTTCTACCGGGCAGGATGTTACGACCGAAGCCCTCCGCGAGTACTTTGGAGCCTACGGACCTGTTGCAGACGCCGTGGCGCGGCCGCTCTTAAGTTTCACCCCTTAAAGTTAAGATTCCCTCTCTTTGTGAAGGTGTGAGCTACACCGACTCGCAGGAATACGTGATTCCTTTTTCTGTTTGGCAGCGTAGGCTATTCCACCTGGGCTCTTTATTAAGCAGTCGGGTTCCAGGTTGTGGAAGAATTTGCTTACAGTTTCGATGGGAAACGGATTTGGTCAGATGTTCTGTTCCGGACGCGCAGGTCTCGTTGTCAGATCATCTGCAGTCTGTTTCTACGACTAGCCGACTAGCTTGGGCGCCTCATGAAGCATGATCATTACTCTATTACTTTTGTAGTTTCCCAAGTGAACAAAAGACACACTCCATCCTCAATTGGGGGCTGTGCATTGACGAGAATCGCTTGCTGAGTCATTTGTGGGCATGTGTTGCAAGTGCCAAAGCTGATTAATCAAAGCTAAGCGCTAAACCCTAGCCCGAACCAGGAATGTTACGCCCAACGCCAAGACCCTGACCCTGACGCCTGCCAACAGGCCCTAAATGAATTCCACTGCTCCCAAGCAACTCGTGAACATGCCTCGTCAAGTTGCCTGTCGTCTTGGAGCCAACATAAACTTGAGGTGGTCATGGTGGACCGCCGAACGCGTCGGTCTCGCGGCTTTGGCTTCGTTCGCTTTGCCAACGGCCCTCAGGGGGCTCAAGCAGCACAGGCTTAGAGAGAGAGCGAGAGAGAGAAGGGATAGGTGAGTGTTTAGAGACGTCTGTAGAAATCGTGCATGCGGGCTAGTGCCTGGCTTGCACGTTTAGGAAGCATTGCAAAGACCCAGGGATTTCAGACTACGTTCGTCGTGGTGTCAGCCAAAACACCAGCCATTGTTGTCAGGCTGTCCTCATGGACTTTGCTGATCACTGGCTTGGAGGCCTCCTGCCAGTTTAGCATTAAAGAAATTAAGGGCATACTCTTGCAGTTTAGGAGGAGTGTAGTGGAGTGTGTACGGTGCAGTTTTGGGTGCACAGTTTGATCTTGTCATCATAAGGACGTTTCCAGCACATCACCTAGACTCCTTGACTTGTCCCATAACAGTACGTCCAGCGAGTACCCGCCGTTACCCCGAAACGAAAATGTCCAAACATGGCAGGTCGTCTTTTGGTACCCTTAGGTAGGGTTTTCTTGCAAATCGTTTTCTGACACCGTTACCTGTGCCCGTCATCCTTCCGCCACAGAGTCTCATGGAATTCCTCCGGATAAGCTCGTGTCAGCGCAGGAGCTGACACAGGGGCTTTTTAAGATGATCCATACCTAAGCACTCAGTGGACCCTTCAATTGTCCTGGTGCTCCCCATGCATCACCAGGCTCCCAGGTAGCCTTCGTGTGAGAAACAGGTGCGTGCCTTTTTCAGGCATTCGGGGTGGGGTTCACATGGGTCTTGTATGTAGGTCTTTGTATGGGATTCTGCCTGAAGCTCTTCCACTTGAGCTGTTTTGGCTCAAAGCACGCGATGTCACAACTGATGTTTCTAGAACCGCGTGTCGAAGTCGCGGGCATGTCGTGAACCACCAGAACGCCAACCCAAATTCCAAGTCATAACCCACTCGAACCTTGACAAGCAGCCATAGCTCGTGCTTGTGGTGCATGCAATCTGACTGGAGTAACAGCATAGATGCATCGTACAGATGTTTGTGTTTGGGGTTTAAATCCCCATGACGTTCAAGCTAGAACCCCCAGTCCTCAACCCTAAACCACCAGCCTCCAAGGCTTGAACGCAACCCGCCAGCTCTCACACACCTAAACCCCAATCCGTAATCCCTAAACCGTAAACCCTGGACCCTAAAGCTAGCGGTTAAACCGGGACTTCTGGAGCCGCGGGCTGTTGATTTAAGCTGGTAATGACCTTCCTGCTTCAAGCCTGCCGGGCATACTGCAGGCACGTATTTTCACAAGTCTTAAGCCATTTGATGTGTGTTAGGGTATCAGGATCCAACATTGCGGTACCCATAACTTTGCTCTCCTCTTAAGAGACTTCAGACTCAAGGTTCGGATTTAGGCTTGTGGACGAAAGGTTTCGGGGTCCCACTTCAGGCTGCAGGAGTTTTTGAATTCCTGCTGGGTTGGGAACCGCATGGTTAAGGGATGATGTCTGTTCAAGAGATTGACAGGAATATGTTCTCTAGTGACCAGGGTCAGAGCCTCCCTACTGCAGGGCTGCAATCTTAGCCATAGCGCTGAGCCCATCCATCCGTCCATGCCTCCATCCCTCTATCCCGGCGTCCCTCCATCCCTAACTAGTCCCTGAAATCCTTTCATTCAAAACCCCTAAGCCCTTCTGTCGTTCTCGACCCCTACTGTAAGATCCCGTTCTTTCGGAACGCCTTTTGTGTTTCATTGTCAGGTCGGCCCCGTTCAATGATGACGGTTGCCAGGCCGGGGCATGTGGGCTTTAGATTTACAGTTTAGGGGGCTTACGCTTACATGGAAGTTTCTTTTCTTGATGTCCGTGTGCAGTACATGACCTGAATTTAGCAGCAGCTCTCGCAATTTCATAAATGGACAGTCCATGGTCGGCCCGCTGAAGCAAGATGTAAAAACGGCTGTTATTCTAGGAAAGCCTCAAAAACCACGGAACCGCCTTAATCCCCCCACCTGTGACTATTACCTGGACATTTCTGGTAAGCTTGTTCTTCTTCCTTACCCCCATGCAATGAAACTTTTGTTGCAGATGCTTTAGATTAGGCCGGCATGATTAGTGATGTCCTTTGAAGGACTTGCCGGGAGTCACGACAGACCCTGGGTCCCCACAGGAGGCCCTAGACTTGCTTTTGTTGGGTGTCATTGGGGCATGTTTCCCAAACAGTTTGGTGTTTACGGCGTGGGGTGGAGGTTTTCGTGTCTTGGGGTTCGGAGCTGTGCATTGAGGATGTAGGTGTTCTGGGTGTTGGGTTCTGGTTTCGGAATTTGCAGTTTTCCCATCTTGTTCTGCAGGTGTTGACAGGTTTAGAGTTCAACGCCACAGGCTAGGGTCTTCTTCAGGATTGTTTCAAGCCCACAATGCAATTTCGACACGGACGTGCAGTCGCGGGAACAAGCTGGTGATATAGTCATGTTGCTGCCTCATCTACAGTACATGGCGCCCACAGTACCCAAAAAGATTGTGTCAAAACAATCCAGGCCCCTTTCACACTTTGGGTTGCCTACCCAAGTTGGCGTCTAAACAGTGTGGCCATACCAGGAATGCAACCAAAATTCGGCGCCATTGTTGCGAACATTCGGGTGCAGATGCTGTGGGCCTGCCATAGCTTTAGCGGGAAATCTCAATCTCTCCAATCTCGAAAGTGAGGCTTGCAAGGTTCAATCAAGCCCTTCATCAGGCCTGCATGCCTTTCAAATCGGTGCCCTAGATCTTCGAAGTCCGTGTACCGGTTTCAGGCACAGACCCCCTACATTGCAGCATTCCAACACTTCATGCTGGTCTGAGGAAACTCTGCCGAGCTCTCTCGCTGCGAAAGTGCTGGAAGAGGCAGCTGTTTGTTCAGGTTCAAGGTTTAGGACTCGAGGTTTGAGGAGTTAGAGCTTGAGGGGTTTCCAGTTGTTTGTGACGAGCCCCGTCTAATCCTTGGCAGCGTAGCCAGGATGGTTGGGCTTCAGAAGCGTGATATGTTGTTGTTGGGATCTTGATGCCAGGTCTTTACTTGTACTTTGATCGCAAGGGATCAAGCACCATGACAAATACCATAGATTCCTAATGAATTCCGAAGCTGGGCACACCCAAGCATGATGCCAGTTCCTCTTGTTTCTTGCATCTAGACATTTGAGTGGTAAGGGTCCCGAATGAGCAGGTGGGGCCCATGATCTACAAGACTTGTAGAGTTAAGTCGTCTTGTCCTGTTGTGCATCTGTGAGTGATGCACAAAAGCTCAACCTCCTCCGTCCATCCTCCTACAGTCTTGAAAGGATGGTAACCCGCCGGTAACTTTGTCAACAAAATCAGCTACACAAGCAGGCGCTGCTTCGAGACTGCTGCCAGTACTGCAACTACAACAGCAACTGCGACTTAACCACAACTCCTCCTCCTCCTTTGGCAATGATGACGGCAACGAGTTGTTGCTATCGCGATGCGATGAGTATGATGACGAGAGTGATTCTGGTAGGTGCTCATCATCACCAGGGAACAGAACAGCCGAACCTAAATCCTGAACCCCAGTGCAGGTGGTCGCTTGAGAAGATCATCATACGAGTACCTTATTGAAACAAGTACCATATTGAAAGTAGGCCAAGTAGATTCGCAGAATGGGGTACCATTCGGAACTGGTCCTCTGTCATCCTAGTCAGTCCCATGTACCCAGGTTGACTTGAATCCTGACCCTTGTTCAGCCTACGCCCTAAAACTCACCGCAAGGAACCTCCTGGCCCTGCGTGCGCCTGGCAGCCGTTAAACGGGGTTTTTGGATTGGATGATAATATGTGGTAGCAGAGTGAAGTGCAGGTAAGCAGGGTGGATGATAGAGACTTATATGAGGATGGAATAGTGTGAGCCTCCAAAACAGAAGGCTATGTTCTAGACCAGATGATGTAGTGCCGATAGGGCTTGTGGATCACACTTGGCCTGTTTAGTCTGGGGATTTGGTGCCATGTTGGTTGGGAAATGATGCCTTATTAGTGCTGACGGACACAGCAAGTCTGATAATGTAGGCTCTACAGTTTTCAGAGCCCATGAGGGTGCCGGATTGCGAGCATTTTTGGGCAAAAGATCTGGGGTCTAGGCTCAGTGTTTTTAGGTTTTGGCATTTTTGCCCAGTCCTGCGCAACCCTAACACAAAATCTTCAACCTGAGCCCTGAAATCAGACCCTCAAGCAATCGCAGCATACATCGCCCCAAGAAGAGGCTTTCATGCTTCGGTTCGAAGCAGAACTAGACGCAGTTTGCCTTCACAAGCTTTGCTGGTAGAGATATTGTCCTTAGCCCATGAGTGCCCCTAACCCTCTTCTTCAGGTCCTGCACCCCATGCCAGGCCTTTCGTCATGGAGGAGGTGCGGATCTGCCCCATCAGTGGCCTCTCCACACTTCAGGCGTGGCCTTTTGGGACCTGCACTTTCAGCGGGGTTTTCAAGTCTTTAGGGACCCAAAGAATATGGGGGAACTACAGAGGGAACGCGGTCCTGTTCTGTTGAGGATTGTGTTGGGATAAGTTTGAGAAACCTCCATGTAGAGAAACAGTATGGGGAGTCTTGCAGGGGTTCTATGTGGACTACGGGGCTTAGGACCTGAGTTCTGATCGACACCTTAGAGTTGTAAGGGGTTTCCAATGAGGCTCAGTAGGTTGCCCAAAAGCCCGGAAAAGCATCAGGTTTGGAGCCTTCGAATTTGAGGAATTCCCGGTGGGGTTCCGGACCAGAAAGCAAAGCACGCCTGCAATACTTCTGGTTTTTTGGCATGGGAACTCAGATGCAACCACGTAGAGGTCTCGATGTGAACTTGAATTCCTTTTTAAGGGTGGAAAATCTTAACCCAAACTTCTATGCCCGCACCCCTGCTTTTTGAAGGCCAGACCCGACACACCATATCTCCAACCCTGAGCTCGAATCCCTCTATTCATGGGACTACCCAAGTGCCGGGTGGGCGCATAGTCACCCCATGATCTATCTCCAGCGCCTCAGATATTGCAGGGCGCTTGCCCCTTCGCCAAGCCCAAAGCTAAGGCCAGAGGGTTTCAGTTATAGGGTTTATACTCATATAGCGCTAATAGAGGGATATATGGGGATAATGGAAAAGAAAATGGAAATTGCCATTTAGGGTTAGGGGTTTGTGTATATAGACTGACTTAAATGCCGGATTATTTGGGTGTATAGGGGGGAATGAGAAGAGTCGGGACTGCCATTAAGGGTTTATGGTTTAGAGATATTAGCTAAAGATTGGAGAAGCAA